GTTGTGTGACAGATGCCCAGGTTTAATGTGTTGTTTTATACATACCTTAGGCAGAGTGGGCGGGGCAGGAGGAGATGGTGAAGGAGAGACGTGGCCAACTGAGTTTTGAGCAGGACTAGAGCCTCTCTGGTTGTTATTATTTTGGTCCTCTGCTCTCTCGGGTACAGGAATCGGGCTTGATTGGGTCGATGGTGAGACGCCGTTGCCGGTCTCTGACGCCGCTGTTGTCTCTTTGGATAATTCTGTCGTAACTGCAGGAGGAGACGAACGGCGGGAATCCAAATTCAGGTTTTGGGCTTCGCTCTCCGCGGCTGCTGCAGCGACCTGTTTATCTCCACGTTCTACGTTTCCATTAGCTGAATGAATGTTGTCCATGTCTCCCAAAAGGCAGTCCGGTTGGTAGAAAGTGTTGCCTAGAATTAAAGAAGGAACTTAAAACTATATATATTTAGGCACACAGATGTCACCTGACCATCATATGTCGGTGTCTTACCTGAGCTTCCCTCCATGCCTCCTGCTAATGTGTTGAACCTGCAAGAAAAACGGCAAAAACAAATTACATTTTTCCATTTTGATTCTGTTTCTGTCTTAAATTCCTGAACGTTTTTTGTTTGTCCTGCAGTTAAACATGTGGTCGCACCAACCTCTGGTAGAGCAGTTTTTGGATGTTTGGGCCCTGAGGGCCTTCAGGTTCAGTGATCGAGCTCCGTTTCTTGAGGGGCCGCGGCGCGTTGCTGAAGCGGCGGCGGAGAACCTCCAGGTCTGCATCACTCTGGTATCGGAGCTGAGAGTGGGCTGTGGGGGACAAAGCGTTAAAGCTACTTTCTTCTTTTGTCGTTTGTTCTTGGCAAAATGTATTTTTTTCTGCTGCTATTTCTGAGATTGTATCCCAAAAGCTCTTCAGGATAGCGTGATCTGTGACTGATAAGCACACTACCATAACTTAATGAGAACTTTCTTTAAGACTTACAGTATAAAAAGATCTAAATGTGATATTCGGGGATTTAAAAATCTAGTCCTGTTTTTAGTATTTCCTTTTAATGATTTCCAAGGTGTGGGCTACAATCCAAGCGGGC